ATGGTTGTAGGTGGTTGTTGAATTTTTTGAGGTGGTTGTAGGTGGTTTTAGGTGGTTGTAGATGGTTTTAGGTGGTTTTAAGTGGTTTTAGGTTGTTCCATGTTTTAGTAACTACGACCAAAAACCTGGAGATCAAGGCAAAAAAACCTGGAGATTTGGGGAGAAACCTGGAGGTTTATCGATGGCATCAAAAAAAACTAAAACCAGGTGTAAGGAAGACATAAAAATGAAAATGGATCGCTAAGAATACGTTTAACAGGATACGAACCTTTCCATTCTGTTTTGAACTTTTTCTTTGCGTGATGAATATATTTTTCATCATTTCCCACCATTTTGACATCATGTACGAAACATATCTAAATGTGACAAACTGGTAACAATAACCTTATTTGGCATTTATCTTGTCAACAAGACGATAAAATATGACGAATAGAGATGAATATGCCTGAGAACTGTGGATTTCTACATAATTGACTTGTGAATCTGTTTACCGTGAGATTTTTGTGCCTCATCGTGAGACCATGAGATTGTCCTCAAAACCGTGAGACTTGAGAGGTCTGCTCTTGGATGAGGGGAAGGTTGTCCAATGCTCTGACAAATTTATGCATGGCGTTGTATTGGTATGAAAATTCTGTACGAAAGTACAAGAATAGAGAACAAAAAATACAATGAGAATTTAAACAATGCCATGCATAAGTATGGTTGAGTGTTGGACAAATATGGGGGGGATGGGTGTGGTATGTATGTCCCTAGTCTGAATTTCAAGTTTGGTCATTTTTTATTTTGAGGAGTAGTCCATGTTCCTCTTCCCGGTTGGTATTTACCCATGTTCCAATTTCATGTAGCCTTATGTTGCTTTTTCGAGGCCATATTGCTAAAAAATGTGTAATAATAGCCTGCACAAGGCCGAATAGGCTATTGACTCAGTTGCCTGCGTGCAGATGTCTCCTATTTCCTTTGTGCAACAAAGGAAATAGGAGACGTCTGCACACAGGCAATTGACTCAGAGGCTATGAGGGCGAGAGGAATAATTGTTGTAGTAAAATCCAACTAGTTGGTTGAAAATATCAAGGCAAAACAACTTAAGCTAGTTAAAGCTAGACATTAATCCTTTTTGGCTGCCAAAAAGCCGGCGCTTTTTGCTACTAGTGGGCAATAACATATAGCCTAGAAGTAGCCCAACCAATCAGAATGCAGCATAGATAATAGACCACTAGTTGGATTTTACTAAAGAATAATATCGTACCCTTGGGTCAGCTGATTTTGCTACAATGGTATAGAGGTGTGCTGCTGAAGCCTTTAAAACCCGTATTTTCAATCCTACACTTGTCTCAACACCGTCGATCGGTGACTTTCAGGATCTTCTCTTTGTTTTTGCATATATCTGAGATCTGCTGCTTGCTGATTTTAAACTTGAGTGCTAAATTTGTTCCTTTTTCACTTTTCTCCACATGTGAAATAATGGTTTGCTTATCCTTTATCGAAATAACAGACTGCGTTCATTGCATAGACATGGCAGTCATTTGAGTTTATGATCGAACCAATGAGGAATCAAGCATGACATTCCCTTAGCAACATAACAATTGAGCATATTAGAATTCAGCTGAATAATTGTTCATCTTATGCCACTTGCGCTTTTTCAAAGCGAAACAGATTAAAACAGTGTTTTAAACAGACTTTTGGAAGGATTAATGAACTTTTAATCGTTTCAATTTTTCAAGATCACATCTTTAATCAACCCTTTAAACTCTAACATCAAAATTTAAATTCTCATTTGTGGCCCCTATTCATTTCCTACAGAAGTAGGGGGAGAAGTTGATAAAATATCAAGCAAATTCATCTTGTGTGATCACGTCTGTAATTCTACTGCAAGGCTGCTGCCTTAGAAAATTAGAAAGTTAGGAGCCAAGCCGCATTTCTAGGAGCCCAATCAAAAAAGATCAGTAACTTTATTAACCCTTTGGTGACGGCCATCGAGTAGAGAAAAAAACGCATTTTTCACCAATTCCTCTTCTTTGGACTGGTTTTCAGCTGATTAGCTTAAGAAAGGCTAAAAAAGAGTTTTCCAAGGAAAAAGGCATGTTTTTCGACTAATCTGACATAATTAAACAGCTTTTTTGTTTTTCACGCATGCTCAAAAGCCAAAATGTGGACTTTTTTTTGCGAATCTATTTCAATCTTCCTCTCTTGCTCTCTTTTTTTCCTTTGCCTTTCTTGTTTATTGGCAGTTTTGTTGCCCACTTTATCGTCCTTGTTTTGCATGGAATTGTGGCTGGCTAACTTTTTGTGAAAGAGGCAGATTAATCTTCAAAGAGTAGTATGTAAGCAGCGAAACTGGCAGTGGATTTTTCCCCAAAATGTTACCTTTTTTAGTGAGTATAATTTTGACAGGATTTTTAAAAAATATCCAAAATGAGGTATCACTGGAAAGATCTATCCTTGAAGTTGTTGTTGCTTGTTTATCAATTTATACCCTGCGAGCAGAAGCCCTTCGATCTTCTTAGATAAGTTGGGAAGGCTTAAAAGGAGCATTGCCTGATGAGACAAAACTGGAACAATACTTGAGCCTCGAATGAATCGAGTTTCGAAACACGAAAACCGAGTCTCGAGTTTTGAGAAACCAGCATTTTTATACTCACCACTCGAAAGGATTTCAGGAAACGATTTATTTCTCGAGAAACATAACAATAACCATTCGCAACTGAATTGAATGCACGGACCAACGGACCTTGCGTCACTCTACAAATACAATTTGAGCTAAGTTAAGTTTAAGTTTTTAGGTGATAAAAAAGGACCAACGAAAGGTTTTTATCTGGAAGTTTGGAAAATTGACTCAGTATTTTTGTATCAAGTCTATCTTTTGAACTATCACAACTGTTTTTATATATGTGAAGGTTTGTATTTATGGACATGGCACGCAACAGCGTAAATTAAAAAGAGATTGAAATGTGATCTTGTATAGCTGCTGTGAATCATTAATTTTAAAAACTGGAATGTGTTTGCGAGCCGCTCTAAAGTTCTCACAAAACGTACAGCAAAAAATAAAGAAGGTGTAGATAACACTGAATAAATGATAACAGCAACCTCCAAGTGTACTGTTTGTGTTCTTAGCAAGATAGAAAACGCTACAAACTTGCAAAAGTTCATAGCATACCAATGTTACATGTAATTTGAAACCAGCTTGCTTTTCCACGGATCGCGACTTTTTCTCAGTTTTTACCTCATGCAGTAGCGACCTAATGTTTCTAACGCTGAAGGAAAAGTCATGGTTTTATTATTGAAGGTTTTTCACAGACTATTAAATTATTCATTTGACACCATTGTCAGGGGAGAAACCTTAACTGCTCCGCAGCAGAAGTCACAGAAGCGAATTTCAAGACATAAGTGCTGTTTGTTTACCTTTTATCTGCGGTAATATATTATTTTTTGCCTATGGCCAACGATCAAATGATGTTTTCCTTTGTCGTTTCAAAAGTGCAGAAGGAGCAGGGAATTTTGTTGTTTGTTCTCTGGAAGTTAGCCCGAGAATCATACGTTTTAGGTGCCTGTTTGGGCTCCCTGTTTGAAATTTTGGTCGCCAAAGGGTAAATCGTAGGCGCCTCTGGTAACCGGGCACCCGTTAGGCAGCAGCCTGGCTAGTGAGCACTCTGTTTTACAAGGCATTCATATTGCAAGGAGAAACATGATGCTGATCACTCTTAGGGCTTAAAGGGTAAATATTCATGAAAAACAGGACCAGCAAAACAAGTGTGTATAATTGAAAAGTCCAGATAATCAAGGTTCAACTGTAACCCTGATTAGTTAGGTGTTGCATACAGAAATAGGTAATTTTTTCATACTAATTTCATGGAACCTGCAGCCTTCACACGTACTCTTTTAAAGGCTTCCAGTTCAAAAACACTCCCTGTTAAAGATGCCAATTAGTGGGGAAGACTCAAGACCCTGAAAACCATACCCTGTACAGCACAACATCCCCGTCTAGACCAAAATTTGGAAATACGGAAATGGAGCCCCCTAGTAAAGTCAATTCTGGTCATGTGAACACCTTGCTTTTATGGACACCTTGATAAAAAGGATGTAAAAGCAGTTAAATTTCCATTCAAAATACAACTTATGGACTCTTAACTTGACCAACTGACCTGACATGAGATAAGGTGTCTAAAAAACTCTTATGCAAGTTCTGTTCTTTAAAATGCTAGGTCAAATCAAGTTAATTTTTGTAAATTTTTCTTTTAGTGATTGACAATATTGCATCACATATTTGAGATTCTTGGTAAAGTGGAATAGAATGGCAACCTGCAAAACAACTCACAGGAATGACTGTTGGATAACAAAATCAGCGAGAGAAGGCGACCCTGAAGACAAGGTAAACAACTGTCCTAATTTTCTCATGGTAAATAAATCAATATTATGTGTGACATACCTTATTTGTGCAGATGGCCTGTGGGGGCTACACTGATTTTAGATTTTGTCTCTTAAACTTTTTGCAAATGGCCCTCAATTATTTGGGGTGTTTCCCTGCAACTCCACCATTGTCCACAGTGGATGCTAAAACCACGATGGGGCTGCAATACAAAATTGCTTATAAGTCATCCCAGTCATGTCATATCGGTCATTATGTTCATCATATTCATCCCAGTCATCACACTGATCCCAGTCATGGTTGTCATCGTAGCCATCCTAATCATCCGAGTTGTCCCTGTCACCCACTTCAAATAATTCACCACATTCATCCTAGTCATCCCCGTCATTTCAGTCATCCTACTCATCCCAGTCACCCTATTCATCCCAATCATCCCAGTTACCCTATTCATCCCAGTCATCCTATTCATCCTAGTCATCCCAGTCATCCTATTCATCCTAGTCATCCCAGTCACCCTATTCACCCTATTCATCCCAGTCATAATCTTCATTCCAGTCATCCCAGTCATCCTAGTTATCCCAGTTATCCTAGTCATCCTAGTCCTCCCAGTTGTCCAAGGCATCCTGCTCATTCCACTCATCCTAGTCATCCCAGTAATCTCAGTCACCCTAGTTACCCTTTTCATCCCAGTCACCCTAGTCATCCCAGTCATCCTAGTCATCCTAGTCATCCTAGTCATCCCAGTTATCCCAGTTATCCTAGTCATCCCAGTCATCCTAGTCCTCCCAGTTGTCCAAGTCATCCCAGTCATCCTAGTCATCCCAGTCAGCCCAGTCATCCCAAAAATCCTAGTCACCCTATTCTTCCCAGTCATCTTAGTCATCCCTCTCATCCCTACACCTTATTCATCCCAGTCATCCCAGGTATCCTAGTCATTTTACTCATCCTAGTCATCCCAGTCATCCTAGTCACCCTACTCATCCCAGTCATGCTAGTCATTCCAGTTATCCTAGTCATTCCAGTCATCCCAGTGACCCTATTCATCCCAATCATCCCAGTCACCCTATTCATCCCAGTCATCCTATTCATCCTAGTCAAGTCACCCTAGTCATCCCAGTCATCCTAGTCATCCTAGTCATCCCAGTTATCCCAGTTATCCTAGTCATCACAGTCGTCCTAGTCCTCCCAGTTGTCCAAGTCATCCTGATCATCCCAGTAATCCCAGTTACCCTTTTTTTTACCCTTTTTCTCTGCGAGACATCAACTTGGCACTTGGACTCTTGCCCCCCAGAAGACACGTGGTATGGCGTGATTCTTTGGGTGTTAAGAGTTCTGGGTCGGGGCTTAAATCAGAGTGTGTGGATATTTTTCATCAGAGCCTGATCTCTGGTTGTTACGCCATACTGACGAGCCCCAAAGAGGGCGAAACAGCTGTCTATGGATACAATCCCGCTCTGTTTTGAGTTCTTTCGATGTTGTGTTGATGTCTTCCAGAGTTAATTTTCACGTAGTACGATCAGCATTGCAGTATTCTACTTGCAGAATTTAATATGTCTACATTTATATTTTTTTGCTGATCAGGTCTTTATAGATCCTACGTTCTTTGGCATATTTGTTTGCGGTCCTTTGCAGTCCCTTGTGGTTAATGTTTGTCCAGTTACCCCATTCATCTCAGTCATTCCAGTCATCCTAGTCATCCCAGTCATCCTAGTCCTCCCAGTTGTCCAAGTCATCCCAGTCATCCTAGTCATCCCAGTCAGCCCAGTCATCCCAAAAATCCTAGTCACCCTATTCTTCCCAGTCATCCTAGTCATCCCACTCATCCCTACACCTTATTCATCCCAGTCATCCCAGGTATCCTAGTCATTTTACTCATCCTAGTCATCCCAGTCATCCTAGTCACCCTACTCATCCCAGTCATGCTAGTCATTCCAGTTATCCTAGTCATTCCAGTCATCCCAGTCACCCTATTCATCCTAGTCATTCCAGTTATCCCAGTCATCCTAGTCACCCTTCCAACTCAGTCATCCTGGTCACCCTATTTATCTCGGTCATCCTAGTCACTCTAGTAATCCCAGTCATCCTAGTCATCTAAGTCATCCTAGTTATTTCAGTTATGTCAGTCATCCTAGTCACCCTATTCATCCCAGGCATCCAAGTCTCCCCAGTCATCCCAGTCATCCTAGTCACCCTATTCATCTCAGACATCCCAGTCGTTGTGGTCGTTCTAGTCATCCTAATCATCCGATTCACTGCAGTCACCCTAGTCGTCCTAGTCATCATGATCATCCCACTCATTCTAGTCATCCTTGTCATCCCAGTCATCCTAGTCATCCCAGTTATCCTAGTCATCCTAGTTATTGTAGTCATCCTAGTCATCCAAGTTATCCTAGTCATCGCAGTCACCCTTGTCATCCCAATCATGCCAGTTGTCCCAGTCATCCCAGTCATCCTAGTCATCCTAGTCACACCAGTCATGCAAGTCATCTCAGTCATCCCAGTTATCCTATTCATCCCAGACATCCCAGTCATTCTAGTCATCCCAGTCACCCTATTCATCCCAGGCATCTCAGTCATTCTAGTCATCGTAGTCATCCTAATTATCCTAGTCATTGCAGTCACCCTAGTCCTCCCAGTCATCCTAGTCATACCAGTCACCCTGGTCCTCCCAGTTATCCTAGTCATCCCAGTCATCAAAGTCTTTAACCACCATTTCCAAATTCCAATTCAATCAGGAATCAGGTACTTTGTGGATGTGCTACCTCCAAATCATTAAATTATTATTATTATTATTTTTAGTCTTTCCAGATATCACAGTCATCCCAGTCATCCAAGTCATCCAAGTTATCCTAATCACCCTTGTCATCGCAGTCACCCTTGCCATCCCAGTCATCTCAGTCATCCTAGTCATTCATGCCAGTCATGCAAGTCATCACAGTCATCCTAGTCATCCAACTTATCATAGTCATCCTAGTCACCCTATTTATCCCAGTCACCCCAGTCATCCCAGTTATCCCAGTCATCCCAGTCACCATGATCAACCCAGTCACTCTGGTCATTCAAGGCATTTTAAGTATTAAATAGGTGCAAGTCCACAGCAACAAGCTGTTAAGTGGTGCCAGATCTCTCAGTTGTAGACCTGGATCAGTACATTTATTTAACAACCTATAATGTAAACAGGCCAGGCCCCTGTCATTGTAATTCTTTGATGAGTGGTCCTACCTAAATTAAGTTCAATAATTGACAGGGATTGGGGCATGAACTTATCAGCTTGGTACAGGGCACTTTGATGGTCTTGAATCCACGTAAAGCATCTCTGCTTGTCACAAGGAAATAACTGCATTAAAATGCCCATTCTTTATTTTCTGACTGCTTTAGTTGTTTTAGAGATAGTAGCATTGATAGTTTATCCACTTCTCCTTCAGAAACATACACAAAATTGATTCATTAAAGAAGTATGATTGTCTTATTTTTCTTCACAAAACTAGTGCGCTACTCAATGTTTTTTACAGAACCGTTCAAAAGTAAGTTGACACTCGATTCTCAATCCTCGCGAGAATCGAGTCGAGAGTTGAGACTCGATTCTCGATTGTTGTACGTGTCTGGATTCTAAGGTAGCCTGCCCCAATGTATCCTCTGTTCGATCTTTAAAGCCTTATTTATGACTGAAAGCACACTAATAAATATATTTTAAGATACAAACAAAAGCTGTTCGTGGTTGGAACCTGACTAATTTGTCATATGTTTGTCATCATATTTTTCTTAGCGTTGCACAGATTGGTCACTGTTTTCAAGGCCCTATTCATGGCTAGACTTTAATCATGATAAGACTAGGTAGCTTATGGTACAACTGTATTCATTGGTTGAGATTTGAGACACTGTCTAGCTACAAACGTCTGCTATTGTAGACCTGGTCATTATTCGTTTAGCTTGCACGAAACCAAACAGTTACAGTAATTTTGTTACCCACCCTCCCTCCCTATGGAGGAGTTTTGTTGTGTTAGGTATCAATAAAGTTTGGGGGGTCACTCCTTGTGATGCGGTCAAGTCTGCGTTGCGACTTCCCCCAAGCTTTTGGCATTGCTTGTGTCTTGCCATCTTATTCATTTGCCTTAATCTTGTCCGATCCAGCCCGTGCGGCGCTGGCGAGATAAGAAAGGCTCTGCCAATACTCTTGTCCTACCCCACGGTAGTGGGGCGATAAGTGAGGCTTGTGTTTTTGCTGTGCACATAACCTGAAGTCGCTAGAACCTGCCACAGGGCTGTGTCCCCCCCTTATTACGCCATCTTTTAGTAATTGTCTTATTTGCCTGCGTGCGCTATTTAGTTGTGTTACTTTTTCATGCATATCTTAAGCGTAATAGTGACATTAATATAGTGAAAATGATCTATTGGATGGCTAGGATGACTGTGAGGAATGGGATTACTGGGATGACAAGGATGACTTAGATGACTGGGATGACCAGAATGACTGGTATGAATTGGATGGCTAGAATGACTGGGATGACTGTGATGAAGTAGATGAAGTTGGGCACAATTATGCAAATGTAGTGCGCTGTTGTTAGTTTAAAACAATTTGTTAAACAAGATAGTAGCTTGTTGGTCTAATAAATGACAACCAATTTATGATTTTTACAACTTTCTGATTATGTCATTTCATATACAGTTTGAAAGTTTTTAGTATCGTTCAATAAAATCCGCTTGCGTAATTTTTCATCACGGTAGCTGCAGTCACGTTCTAGGCAACAAATAGTTCATGCATATCATGTTCTCAGAAAAATTAGCGGGCCAATTTTACGAGAGAATTTTACGAGATATTTCCTGAAACTTTAAAGAATGCACTAAATTTGCGAGTAGAATTAAAACCATTCTTTCTCAAAAGTTTTCAAGGATCACAAACGCAATTTCAGAGCAAAATATTAGTCATGTTACAGACACACGTGTATGTTACCACTGATCTTTATCAAGCCCAGAATAAGCCCAGGATAAGCCAAGGATAAGCCCCGAATCGTTTGATGTTACAAAATGAACATGCTATTGCTTGTACGCGAGTATGCACTGTTTGTATGCATTTGTAGCAGGCATTTGAAACTTTATTTGAGGAAATGAAGCCTGATGCAGATGTCCTCAAAGAAACATTCGCTTTATAACTTGAATTGGTCTTGTTTCCAGTATACAGTCACTTGCACAAATACAGTCGACTTCCGATAACTTGAACCTTCAAGGGAAATCAAAAAAGGTTCGAGTTATCTGGAGTTCGAAGAAAATAGCCGAGAGTAAGGTAAAAAAACGGTTTTTACTGCACAGTGAACATTTTAATCACATTTAATTGTAGAAATGTCAAGTGAAAATTAAAAGATACTTGTAGATTATAAATCAGAACGTAACGTAACAAAACATAGCCTAAATAGACCATGCGTTTTACTGTTTTGAGAAGTAAAGCTGCTTAGCCTGTGTCCATCAACAGTAGCCTCCACTAGTAAACTATACTCCTACAACACATCAATAGGAAATCCAAAATTCTATGTTTCGGACGCCAGTAGACGGCTTTTTCCCCTACTTTTTAAGGGCTCAAAACATGGTTCAAGTTATCGAGGGTGAAGTCATATAGAAAATGACCTGAGGGGAAACGAAAATTGGTTCGAGTTAGCGGGAGTTCGAGTTATCGTGGGGTTCGAGTTACCGAGGGTAAAATTACAGTGAATATGTATAACGAAAATCCAGGGGAAATCGATTTTGGTTGAATTAACGTAAGGTTCAAGTTAGTGAGGATTTGAGTTATCGGAAGTCGACTGTATAACCGTGCCGCGTCATGTTACAGCCGTACAAAATTATCGATAAATCAGTCATGGGTGAGTCTTTTGTTTTCTGTCCTGCAAGACTCGATCCTCGACTTGATTCTCGATAGTTTGTTCTCGATTCTGGATTCTCTATTTGCGCAGGAATCGAGAATCACGAATCGAGTCAAGAATCAAGACTCGCAATGGACTGTCAACTTACTATTGAACGGTACTGTAAATAGGTGCAAGTCCACAGCAACAAGCTGTTAAGTAGTGCCAGATCTCTCAGTTGTAGACCTGGATCAGTACATTTAGGGTGTGTTCCTTTCGGCGAATCCAAAACCGGATTTTTGATCCTAGATTTGCCAGATTTCTCGGTCGAAAGGAACATGAAATCCGAAATTGGATTTGTAACCTTGGTAACCTTTCGCCAACGCGTGCAATATGCACGACAGCCTCTCAAAAAATGACGTGTTTTCTACTGTTTGACAAATTATGCGATTATACCGTGCAGAATTTAGTGGTCGGCAGTTCGAATAGCGACGATGGAACATATAAAACAGACAAAGAAAGAAGCGCATTAAAATTGAAAATTATCTAAAGAATGTCGGCCAGTTTGATCCAGTTCCATAGCTCGGATTTTTTTATGTAGCACGATCGAATGCCTGTCGCGTCTACAAGCGAGTTTGTAGTTAGATAGCAGTTCATTTGTTACTTTTACTTATTTCTGATTTCAAGCAATCTTTAGAGACAAATGGTCAGTATATGGATATTTTAATGTACCAGGAACAATCTTCTAATCTTTTCAGATGTTTTGGGGCAAATGACCACAACGAGGAAACTCTACGGCCTCTATGGGAATACTTTAACTGGAAATACCGCTGGATCATCTGACTAATTTCGGATCCACTGTGAATGGAACAGCGTAGATCACTAATCCGCTAATCTGGATTTGGATTCTTCGGATTTCAAATCCAGTGAATCCTTTTTTAAAAAGGATTCACCAGATCAAAAATCCGGATTTGGATTTGCCGAAAGGAACGCGAAATCTGTTTTTAGATCTAAAATCCGTTTTTGGATTCACCGAAAGGAACACACCCTTATTTAACAACCTATATGTAAACAGACCAGGCCCCCGGCATTGTAATTGTTTGATGAGTGGTTCCTCCTGAATCAATTCCAATAATTAACAGGGATTGGGGCCTGAACTTTCTTTATTTTCTGACAGCTTTACTTGTTATAGAGATGGTAGCATTGATAGTTTATCTACTTCTCCTTTTTACAAAATTGATTCATTAAAGAAATATGATTGGTTTTTTTTTCTTCACAAAACTCTGGCTCACTACTCAGTAGTAGTAGTAGTAAATTTATTAAATCTCCAGCCAGTGGCTCTTCCGATTTAATTTACAATAATTGGAAATCGAATAAAAACGACTTATAAAAATTACAATAATATCATGATTAAAAAAAAAAAAAAAAAAAAAAAACTAATTCAAATAAATAAATTAACCTATTCTAAAAATGCTAAACCTAAAAAATTTACTACGAACTATTATATAATTCGCGCTTTACTGCGCGCTTAAAAACTGAGAGTGTTGCGCTATTTTTTGTTTCTTCACTTATAAGAGAATTCCAAGCAGTGATTGCTCTGTAACTAAAGGACCTCTGTGCTGTGGCTGTCCTACAAAGTGGTACGACTAAATTGTCCCTAGATCTAGTATTGTAGCTGTGGATAGCTGATCTTTTGTTGAC